AAATACTTCAGTGTGAAGAGGCAGTTCTTGAAGAAGTTGTTAGTAACTCCTCTCCAAATTTCGGTGTGTTCTATAATTTGGTGTGTTCTATAATTCTATAACATCGAAGTAATTCGGTGCTACTATAATTTTTTCCAAGTGTTTATACTTACGTTATGTTATGTTGAATTACATATTTATATACTTCTGTGGTTATAAAACTTATAGCATTGAATATGAGCTTATCTTTTACAGTTTTTGCTTTCCTAGTGCAATGATGTAAACGTCTATGTAAGTGGGCAGAACACTGGAGAATTAGACCAATATGTAATAGCGTACCAAATTTGACAATTGCTTCCAGCTGCATAATTTCAGAGGGGGTTTTATAACTAGAGGGATTTTGCAAGAAAAAAAAAAATATTTCAAGCATGGCTCATTTCTGATTACAAAAGAGAGTGCAAAGTACTTGCTTTTAGTAAAATTAGAAGAGAAGAGAAACAAAAGGTATTTATGAAATGTCTTTTAGTGTCATAAGATTAGAAGCATGACACTGAAAGCTAACAGAAAAATCTAAGTAGGCAAGACAAAATCTTTTTTTTTTTCCTAGAATGTGTCTTTTAAAAAAAGGCTACAAGGTTTTTTTGTGGGTTTTTTTCTTCCTATAAACATTTGTTTCATTGTACTGATTCTCAGAATAGTAGGAATTGTTAGCTGAATGAATAAAATGATCGTGAAATAAATGAGTACAAACATACAAACACTAATTGTTGCACTAGAATGTATCTGTTGTCAACCTTTGCAGGTTGTCTTGCAGTTGTACAGTTCCATTGGCCCCAAATGGTACTTACTGAACATTTATTTTTTTATTTGTTTGGACCACGCCAGTATTACACAGGCAGCATGAGGGAATAATGAGCTGCATTCTTTGGGTTACTGAAGAGTCAGCACAAACTGTGGGAACAAATAACAATCAGACAAGGCAGTGTTTTATAATATCAGGACTGCAATCCATCTTTGGGATCTTTCAGAGCTGGGCTAATAAAGGCCCACTAACAATCCCCAGCAGAGTACAGTTTAATTAAATTTGTCCATTAGAGGACTCCTCCCCCTCCCTCTACATTTTAGAAATTAATTCTGCTTTCTGCCTGTTGTTCTTTCTACATCACAGATGCACTGAGCCTTCGTAACCGACAGGTCATCTGCATCACGCTGAAAGTCCTCCAGCACCTGGTGGTGTCAGCTGACATGGTGGGGGAGGCCTTGGTGCCCTATTATCGGCAAATCCTCCCAGTCCTAAACATCTTTAAGAATATGAATGGTGAGTTATCCTAACAGACACTGTGTCTTTCAACTCCTAAGGTAAAAAGGGGCTTGAGGTAGGGTTAATTAACAATGTAGTTAAGATTTATTACTGTATATAAACTCAAATCCGTTTGGAGCTCTAAATAATGTAAACCGCCCTTCTTACTATTCCCTAAGGATGCACTGGAATTAACAATTTCATTTATTACTCCTTGCACGTACAGTTTATTTAACGCAGTACGGAAGCACTGAGGCAGTTCTATAATCTTCCAATAATTAAATTGTAAAGTTTTGTAACAGTCTTTTGAACACATTAATAAATAGAAAGGTTTTTCCCTCCCTCCAACACATTAGTTCAGTCCAGCCTTTTTATTCCGTTCTGTGCTCTTCACAAGCAATTCACTGCTACCAGCAGGCTTAGGAAAGAATAAAAATAAAAGTAGCAATCAAACTAATTAATTTGAGGGTCAAGAGAACTCCTTGTTGTAGAAAAATTTCAAGTTACATAATGTCTAGCAAAACAGTGAAGTTTGAAGTTATTACTGCTCACTTAGCAGGTTTTATTGTAGAGAAATTTAGAACTAATTTGTATGTACAGTTGAGTATGTTGTTTTCTTTGTAGTGCAAACCTCTGTTGCCAGTTTCAGTCTTTAACAACTGGTACTGTGAGTACTGTATACTGTGAATGCATTTACACCACAGTCACCAGCTGAAATCAACATGATGTATCTGGCTTTTGCCAAACTAGTCTTTAAAATATTCTTCTGTAGTAAATCTACCTGTACTTATCTGTTCAATTATCTACCAAGTTACTGAGTTTAAAGTTTGTTATTCACATGCAGCCATATAGATCAAAAGAAGTTAATTGCTCACAATCTTGCAAAAGAGGTTTTTCATGAAATTCATGGCATTTTAATAGTTATCTACAGGACTGCTTCCTGTTATACTTTCTATTTGCATTACTACAGAACGTATTATCTTATACTCACTCTTTAGTGAGTATAAGATTCACCTCAGATTGAAAAATGCCTGTCCAAAGACTGACTTGGAGACTCAAATGAGATTTAGATTTTAGACCCCTTCAAATACATATATGCCACTGACTCTGTTTTACTTAGTGAGAAACTTGCAGTAGCGTATGGAATTCCACAAATGCAACATGGTTCAGATGACAACTGTGGCTTTCTAGAAGTTGTGGGGTGAAAGGTTATGAATAAAATCTGTAGGTTGAACAGATTTCAGTAGGGCTCCTTATGAATTAGAAGATTCCCCCTTCACAGATCCAATTTCAGTATTGGGCACAAAACGACTGTAAAAAGAAGGACACTCATTGATTAATGAATATACAATACATGCTTTTTTCCAAATTTCAGCCTGAAGTAACCCATAAATTCTCTTGACTAGGCTTTTCTGAAATGATTTCAGATGAATGATAGGGAAAGCTCATGTGTAACCATAGCTTAACATAGCTTAACAAGGCATTAAACGCATTCTAAACTTAGCCTAAGTTTTGATTGTATTGTCAGCAAAATAAAACATATTTTCAACATATTTGCATGACATCTGTGCTATATGAATTTGTGCCTATATCAAACTGCACTAAATCTTGATATTTGGCATTTAAGACCTAAAAAACAAAAAGAAATGAAAAGTAATAGTTCAAAATTAATACATTTTATTAAAGCATTACCTTTTTAGGAATAAAGGTTTTGAAAGTTCAGTATTACCAGCAATGAAATGGATGTTATTTGCAAGGCCTACCATATGAAACTGTTCAACATATTAAGTACTTGCATGCAGGTGATAGGAAAAGATTCTTCCTCTGTCTCCCTCTGCCTCAAAAAGCTTATATTTCTTTCCTCCTTCACTGGTGGTTGACAGAAAATGTATGCTCCCTTCCTTCTCCTTTCTATGTCCCATATGCTTAATAGGCAACTGAGGTGCAGGTCTTTGCTCCCAGTTATAAGGAAGGTGTAGAGACTGATCCAGGCTATTTTCTCCACTGCTTGTTAATACAGGTGAAAGATGAGGTGAGGGAGTGTACACCTTCTTCTTTTTTTTATGTATAGCTTGAGAAAGGAGGAACTATGGTACATCTTCCAGGAGTTGTGTGAATTGCACTTTATTAAGTCTGACACTGTGGACGTTTGTCCAGAATTAAGGTAGCTGGAAGGAGCCATGTTTTAGTCATTGCCACGTTGCTAGATCAGTATCTATCTGCTG